ATTTCTCAAGTCATCTTAGTGACCTGCCGATTATTGTTTTCTTTCATTTCCATTGTATACACATTTCCTTCCGGGTCCCTACCAGAGACCTAAGGTCAGAAATGTCTTCTTGACATTTTCTACTTACATACATAAATGCTTTTCGTAATGTGCAAGCTGTACTTGTGAGTACAATTTTTTGTATGGCTACCAGAAATCCCTTCAATGAGTCTATCGGAACCTTTTCCAATCAATCCGAAGGTTCCAATTACGACTGGAAATTATTGATCTCCTCATGTGTTACATTCTTGTGATTTCCACTTCAAGATCCTTGTATTTTGATAGTTTTTTGAAGATCTTCAAAGATTCATTACAATCTGCAGAAACTGCGGTTTGTAATTTATCATCTTGTTTTTATGGTCCTTGATTACAATGTCTGGGCGATCATCTATGACGATTCTGTCAGTGTGTATTGTCAAGTGCCATAAAATTATTACAGTTCCTATCTCTTTGGGTGATGTTCATACCAGTTTCTTGCAGTTTCTTTCCTGTAAAAGTTGCATGTTTTCCAGTGTAGATATTGGCTCACTCTATCATGCCGACGTTTTATAATAACAAGATGTTCATTTGTTTGTGGATATTTATCACAGAATCTACATTTCGGATGAACACAATTTTTCAGTGTGTGTGCTTGGTAATTTCTGTTTAGCAGGCATTGATCCTGTGCAGCAAGAATAAAACCTTCCGTTTCAGCTTTTAACCCCGCACTACGTAAGCATTGATGGGTACGGGGTTTGTCTACATCAGTTTATTTGGTAAAGAAGCTTATCTTGCCATGAATTGTAATTGGTACATTGCATTTGATTTTGAATTGATTGGCTTCATTTATTGCTGAATAAAGTTTCTTATTTCTTTCGCATTCTTTGACACAGATTTTCATCCAGTCTTCTGTAGTTTCCGGGTTTATTTAAAGACCAATTGTTGTTGTTTTGTAAGATAGTTCGAGTTGAACTAACCCTCTGTCTCATCTGGATCCTGACCTTAGGATTATGTATGCGGTGTCAAATGAGAATCTTTCTCGTTTTAACATCCATTCACTTAATGTCAGCAGTGGTCCAGATAAACATGTTTAAACTGTATTACACTATAGGAACACCCATGTATTGCTAGTAATTTTTTTCCATAAAAAATGTATTTTTATACTTTTTTTAGTGTTGCACTGATTGTCATGTCATGTACTATTGGTCATTTTACTATAAAAATGTACTGTTGATTTTTGTTTGGGTGTTCACTATTTGCTGGGATCCTAACGATTGCTACCACCACGGAAAATTTTGTAAAATAAATACTGTCGAAAAATGATACATCACTTGATACAATGATCATTAGTACATTTTTATGGACTGATTCTTATGATTAAAAAAATAATGAAAAAACAAGATGAAAACTTGTCAAAAGTGAATTTTGTCTCCTAACTGTGATGGACGATACTAGAATCATTTTTGCTTCCTCACTCGATTAAATGTCCCTTCTTTCCTTCAGATTAGCAACTTATAATTTTCTATTTCAGCATCATAGAGAAGTTAAAAATTGGAGAGGAACAAATACGGCACCTCATATCACATGGGAAATATTATGAAATTTTTCCACTTGTAGTTTAATCAAGGATGCATCGATTTAGTGAAGTTCTGATAAATATCATTAGAATAATTACTTTGTGGTGGTTACATTATTCAGGCATTAAGGGATTAGCTTTTATACTTTAGATCTTTAGGTTGGGCTTTTCAAAGAAAAACGGAGAGAATTTTCCCTCTAGCGGAGCTTGAAAATGATTAAGAGTAATTAAATTTTCTTGTATCATTAATTTGAATTACATTTTAGATGATTTAAAGAGTAATAATTTGGCAGATAGTGAGATTGATATATATGAATGAAAAGACTAAATGTACAAGGCGAATGAAATCTAGCTCTCTTCTTAAATGCTATTTTAAATAATGATACATAATAAACATTCTTCATTTGCCAAAAGACGTTCCGTGTATCGTAGCCAAATTGTTTGCACTCTTCTCAACTTGTTTGTCCAATCAATAAGAAGCCTAATAAAGACTGACGTCAGCATTTTCTTTCTTTCTATTTTCTTTTCAGAATCAAAGTTTCGATTTTGTAATATATTGTTCTTTTTTATTCTTTATTTTTTTCTTTTCAGTCTTCGTTTTTTCTTCTCTAAATCATTCCAAATTTCTATTCATTTTAATCACTCGTCAAATATTCTCTTTTTGGAATTTTCATACCTCTTATTGAATTTTACTATCTCTCCTCCCTTTTCTCTACTTTTCACTTCATACACTTATTCTTTCTCTCCCTCTCTCTCTCTCTCTCTCTCTCTCTCTCTCTCTCTCTCTCTGTTAAATTTCAAAGCATCATTTTTAGCTTGCTTCGTTTATATACATAACTGTGTGGTTAGCCATCCTGTCTCACTAGATCAATTACGACTGAATACTATGTTCAGTTCTCACTGAGTTCCCACCCAATACTTTCGGCTACATCTAAGCTACACTTAGTAAATCACTGTATGTGATCTATAGGTGTTTCCGTTGTCCATTTTGGCTCAATTTCTGAATTTCTACACCTTGGTTGGATACTGTCAAAATAATAAGAATAAACCACTTCTTTTTTATCGAAATACTTACCTGGATTGAGTAGAACAAACATGATTGTCTATATGCGGATATATTCTCTACCTCTAATAAAGTAGCTTCATTTTTTTCAAAATTGATTTTATTTAACATCATGTTTACCGTTTTGCTCCACTATTTTCTCCCATCTTTCAGACGATTTCATCGTTCCGTCCTCCCAGAAATTCATGTCTTACAAAATGAACTTCCCTACGTACTGTGTGCAGTCCGCTACGGGATTCGTTTATTGATTGATTTGTTTTTTACAGCTTAGCGACTTATTAAATAATCCTTAGCGAGTTATTAAAGCCGAAGCATATTTTAGAATGTAAGATTAATTCATTTATTTTTTGCATGAGAATATTTCATTATTTTTCCAGATACAAGCCCTACAAGTTATGATACTCGTGTCTACTGTCTAAGACCTATGTTTAGCTTCAACTATATAATGCAATTGTTAATCATTTTTAAAAACATATTTTAAGTTGTACTAAACAAATCAAAAGAAATTCAAATCAATATTTTGGAAAGAAATCGAAAAAATTAAATATCTTGGAAGTATTTTAATAGAAGACCGAAAGTGTAACACGGAAATCGGAAGGCGCATTGGGACAAACAAATAGGCATTCCAAAATCTAAGCAGAGTTTTAAAAAACAGAAAAATTCGTTAGAAACAAAGAAAAGAGAACTGAACTTTGTTATGGGATATCAGTCCTCCTTTATAGCTTTGAATAGCTTTCTTCAAAGATGAAAAAGAGAATTGAATCAAGAGAAAAGTGGTTCAACAGAAGGTTGCTGAGGATACCATGAACTGAATATGTGAACAGTGACAAAGTTTTAGAGAAAATGAAAATGAAACTTATATTTAACACCAGGAAGAGACAGTCGAAATTTCCAGGACATATAATATGGAAAGTGTGCTTGGAAAATCTGATACAGACAGAACAGATTTGAAGACAAGCGGGACAGAGGAAAACAGCGCATAAGATACTTAGTGAGGGTGAGGGAACAAAGTTTAAGATAATTAACAAAAAGGCAAAATTTATTAAAAAGTATCAAATACAGGAAATGGTGGAGAGACATGATCGCCTACGTCATGAATAGACACGGCGCATGAAGAAGATGAAGAAAATTAGTAATAGTAGTAATAATAGTATTTACTTATGTGAAAGTCGATTAGAGTTCAACAGAGTTTGGTTGAAATAATGTAGCGATTATTCGAGGTTATTCGTATCACCAGAAAAGACTGATACTGCCCTGACTGATTGCCGATAGGTTCTGGATGTGGAGATAATTCTTTGGTCTTGTAAATCAGTAAATGAAATTGACTCTTCTTAACGACATTGGGTTTGTAGAATAACGACGAAAACAAAATACGAACTTAGAATTAATCAAAAATAATTAAACTTGCTGTATAGCGTGCTAAAATGAAGCAGAGTACTATCGTGAATAAGTTAGCATTTGAATGAATGAGTTTTCAGTAAAATAAAGTCATAATGATAGTTATAGTAGAAAGTTTGTATCACCGCTTTGCACTGATTAAATAGTTGCTGAGTAGTTTTGTGTACGTGAAAATCGTGCGGCAGTATCATAGAACATAGTCAGTTCTTGACTGTATTACAACTTATGTAATATCATAATTAGAGAAGTTTCGGTTCATATCTTCTTGTCAGATAAGCGGCCTATATCCAATAGTCAAAGCTGATTGAATTATAAAAGTAATTCATTCTTGGTAGTCATCATAATACCAGCTCAACAGTTACATCCAGCTCTCCAAATTATTAATCTACAGCAATACGCCCGCTTAGGCGAGTGTATAGCTGCAACAACTATTACAAAAATCTAAAGCGGTGACAGAAGAGTGTATCTGCTCGTGTATGAAATGTAGCAGATAATGTTTGATAAAAAGTCGATAGCAAGCGACTGTGACAGTAAATTATGTATTACACCCAGGAAGAAATCTGAAAAAAAAAATGAAGGTGATTTTCAAAAGGAATCCTAGGGAATGTGTGATGTGTGATGAAAGCAGATAGCCTAAATACGCATATGATAGGGTTAATTTCGCCTAGCAACAGAATAAAGGTCACGTGTTAGTCTTATGACATTTTGGGAAGGCAGGTCACAAGGTTGGCTGACCCAATTAACCGTAGCGACAAATGTCTAGACAGAAGCTAGACAGAGGACGGTTGTAAGTTAGAATTCGCTCCCAAAACACGTGACAGTCAGAGATTCACTCGAGGATCAGTTGCTATCTTGATTTTGAAGAGGCAAGACCTGTAGCCGAAGCGCTGATAGTTTATGAACGGAAAGATAAGACGCATTTGATAGTAATGTAACTTATCCAGTTCAATCCAGGCAACTCCGGACAAGAAGTATTCCTGTTCGATAATCCCAAGTTGAATTGTGTAAAGAAAAGAAAACGGATATCCAGAGAGAAGAAGAAAGTATACCTCTATTACAAGTTGAATTGTGTAAAGAAAGAAAAGGGAAAACAGAGAATAAAGTGTATACTTCTGTTATAAGCTGAACTGTGTAAAGAAGAAGACGGAAAGAAAGTAGAAAACTAAAGAGAGGAAGAAGGTGTACATCCCTGTTGCAGTAAGTCGGGTTGGAATCCGAGCTGTCGACAGAATAAAGGGAAGAAAAGAAAAAGGCGAAACAAAGAGAGGAAGAAAGTGTATACCTCTGTTACAGCCGGGCAGTCTGTGAAATTGTGTTTGTGTCGAGAAAAGAAAAGAAAGGACATTGATATAAAAAAAAGAGAACTGAATATAAAAGATAAGTAATCATATTTTGGACCCATAGAAGAAAGATATACATCCATCCATGAATATTATGTTTTTGCAAACACCTTTCCACATGTAAAACAATAATTATAATTCCTATCCCATCCTTTTTGTGTGGGTTGGCTTCTGCATTCAATTCATAGTAATTCATACTTATATTTTGTACTAGCAGTAGAGCCCGGCGTTGCCCGGGGATATAACAGTAAGAGATAGATCAAGTACCCACCATCATAAAGACTGAAAAATAAAATTGACAAAGATTATTGTTTAAGGTTGACGGACACGCATGTCTTAATTAGTTTTTTTTTTTAGGAATTGGTCAAATCCAAACTCAAACAAAAACATTGTTTTCAATCGTTATGAGTCTACCGATTGAATAGAATTTTATAAACAATTGTCTTGTAAATGGAATTTTTAAAGCATTCTGAATGTAAAAATAAAGAAAAAAGTGTGCAAGACAATAAGAAACACTACATGCCAAAAAAAGTGAAGTTTTGTTGAAATCGGTTGAAAAATGTAGGTAGCCTTTCTGTAATCTTTTAGTTTTACAATTTATGATTTTTACTTATTGAATACAGTAATAAAAATTGCATATTTTGCTTGTGGTGATTCATAATTAGAATTCTGATTTGAATATATTTTCCACTCGTTGTTTCTAATACAAAAAATATTAACTTTATTTGGGTTTATTAATTATGATCTAACAAATCTTATTTATTTAGTAGCTTTTCTGTAATAATAATCTTTTACAATTTATGATTTTTACTTATTGGAATACAGTAAAAAATTGGACACCATGTGTATTTAAAGTAGTTTCCCGTTCCGGTTATTATTTTTAGTTAGGACTTGTGTATGTTTAGATTTCATTATCTCTCCCTAAAGATAAAGAATTTATTCCGATGTTTGTATTCGTACAATCAGTAGAGATCGTTAGATTATTGTTTACGGACACGTATGTCTTAATTAGTTTTTTTTTTCATTTTTTACGAATTGGTCAAACCCAAACTCAAACAAAAACATTGTTTTCAATCGTTATGAGTCTTCCGATTGAATAGAATTTTAAATAATTGTCTTATAAATGGAATTTTTAAAGCATTCTGAATGTTAAAAATAAAGAAAAAAGTGTGCAAGAGAATAAGAAACACTACCTGCCAAAAAAAAAAATGAAGTTTTGTTTTATCGGCTGAAAATTATAGGAAATCCGCTCCCATATTTAAAGGAACCCACACACACAAACAACCCGATGTGAGTTGTCCTCCTTCCATTTTCACGATGTCTCTTAATCGTGTTTTCAAATTAATTTTGTGCCAAAACAATTATATTTTTCCCATTTTTGGCGCTGTTAGAACCACCACAAGGTAATTTTATGTAGTCCTGTGAAGTTTTGTTGAAATTGGTTGAAAAATGTAGGAAATCCGATCCAATATATAAACGTTACAGACACACACACACAATCTGCGTTTTATAAGTAAGATGTTTGGGTTCACTTGAATCCATTTGGTGTTAGGCGAATTTGATATCCCAAAATAAGTTTGAGATCTGGTCGTCAGATGTTTTAACTCATACTTATCTGTTCTTTTATTTTTGATATATGTATATTTGTATATATTAAAAGTATTGTATCAAAAATCGCTAAGCCTTATTGTTCATCCTTGTATTGTGGATCAGTATTCGTGTTGAAAACGAAGCGGACCTGAGAAAGATTACTGTTCGATTGGGATAATCGAACAGTGGTCTTAAAAATATTTTTGTTTGCCAATTGTCCATTGTCACGATCTGAGAGAGATAGCTTGTATCTCTCCACAGGTGTCAGAGTGTATATATCTCCTAGTCGGCTCATAATCGCCCTATAAACACATTGGTCGACTGGGGCATATGACACATGTTATTCAAATTATCCGACATAGGAATGTTGTGAATTGATCAACTCTGTCTGTGACATGTCATTTCGGTAAGTCAAGCCCAAATTATTCAGATTCACTAACTTTGATAAAGGAAAATTTAACGCCTCCAAAACAAAACTGCTTTTGTATTAATCATCTAGAAGACCCCATTCTGCCTTCCATCAGTATGGCTGATGCTAACCTCCAGGAGAGTGATTCATTGCGACTTCTCGAACTAACATTCTTTTCTGATATGAAAGAGAATCATTGAATCAATTGCTAGGTCTGCTGCTAAATGTTAGATATTTTACCTTTTTTTTTTTTTTTTTTTTTGAGGGTGTGTTTAGTCTCTTTAAAAAGCTATTAAGCTTTTCACTTAATTGGATTTCTTTGGCAATCTTTTATGTCCATGGCTTTTAATTATTGTAGTGTTTATGACTGTTTTATCTTTTCCCCTCTTATTTAAGTTGTCACGTACAGATGATTCGAAATTCATTTATGCTTATGTGCGAAATTAGATGCACTAATGAGAACACTAGATTGTTCCAATACTTTGATAATTTGATAAACCTCATGAACAAGTTCTGGCATATTTGAAGATATCAAAAAGAATATACACCACTGTAATTATAATCGCTCTCTCTCTCTCTCTCTCTCTCTTCCTCCAGTAGAGTATTACTCTCTCTTCCCCTCCCATAATATCAGTATTCTCTTTCCTTCTTTCTTTCTTTCTCTTTCTCTCTCTCTCACATACACAGACTTTCATGTTCTTTTCCCCAAAAGGTTTCAATATTCACCTTTTTAATATTTCTTTATCTTTAACTCGATATTTACTATCATTTACCTTTGTTTCTCTCGCTTCTTTTTTCTCTTTCTTTTATTTTTAATCTTTCTTTTACACATTTCTTCTTGGATTTATGTTTTCCTCTTACTCTTTTCTGTTTCTTTTTCTCTACATGACTTTATTCTGTATGATTTTCCTTCTCTTCTTTACTCATACGCTCATTTACACTTTTCTTTTTAGCTTTTCTATATTCATTCTCTACTCTCTTTCTCTCTCTCTCCTTCCTCTCTCTCTCTCTCTCTCTCTCTCTATCTATCTATCTATCTATCTATCCCTTTCTGTCTGCACCTTTTTCTTTTCTTCTCAACCTCTTACGATTTTTTCTTCAGCTTTCCTGTTCTTTTTCCCAACAGTAAAATTGTTTAAGTTTTCTTTTTTGGAAATCATTCAAGATAAATAGCAAAAAGAAAATATAAAGCTTTGTGCATATTTTAAATATTTTCCGATGTGCAACACATTATTCTCTTACTTGCATTATTTACATTATTCAGACTTTTATCCTCATCTTCATTGCCACATTCACAACGTTTCGGCCGTTGTACGCTCCAGCCTTTTTCAGGTGATTGGAATTTCGTTCACCGGGGTAGATTTATCCACTGGGCCATGTTTTAATTTTGTCTCTTCCTTTTTACTATTGTAAACTCCCTCTGTTTGTCTATCTTCCTTTTTTTTCCTTGCATGTTGGCATCTTGCTGTTTTTCTCCCGTTTCTGTGTTTGAATCATATAGATAACCTAATTTCTTATTTTCAAATTAAAGAATGAATATATCTTATACTTTCCACTCGAATTTTAGAACTTATTAAAATTCAACATCTCAATAAAAATTATGATTAATAACATTTGTGATTGCTAATTACAATAAAAATAATAGTAAAAATATGATTAGTAATAATTAATAACAAATAGAAAACCTAATTCGAAAATTCTCCAGCTAAAATCATTTCAGATGCTTTCTTAAACAATTTGCTGTCATTGAGATTAAATCTTTATACTAACTTCGTTACTCTAAACAAACATGGAAAAGCGATAAACTGTTTTTAAGTTAATACTAATGGCTGTTTTCTCAAATGAGCTATTATGGAATCTGCGATACAATGTTGTTGTGGATATTTGATATAAATAGAATCTCGCAATTGGGAAATAGGGATCAAGTAATATGAATATTGACACCAATTGAAGTGAGCCTTTAAAAATAAACAAATCCATAAAATAAAGACAAGGCTTGAATTTTCATGGAAGCAATTCTTTTTTACCTACAATCATACCCGTGTTTATAAAATCTTTCCTTTTTCTGTGGCACCCAGATCCGTTCTAAAAGCTGTGCATTATCACTTGGCTTTTATAAGGAAAGAAAAAAAAACAGGGATGTCTGAAGAAACAAAACACTGATGCTGGCATTGATATGTTGCAGTCATTTTTGTTGGTCTTCAAGAGACGTCACGTGACTAATTTCTGTATTGAGCATAAAAGTCAGATTAAGATGTTTACAATTGGAAAAACAAAGACAATAAACTTCTCCTTCAACTATTAATGGATTATATATCGATCAGAAAACACCCACATACGCAAAATGGTTAAGCATTTCATTTTTTTTCTTTTTCATCTGTTATATTTGTTTCCTCTTATAGAGTACTGCAAATTTGCAATTTTTTGTCATATCAAATTTTACTCCAACATCATTAAATTTTAGGGAAATTTATGATATAGAAGTATATTAAATGAACATGTTAAGTACCAAATATCCATACCTCCATCTCTAAAAATGCTATTATGGATTTGTCGTTCAAAGCACTTAATTTAAACTTAAGGACTTGTGCACACATGCTCACAGTTAATCAAGTGAAATATTAACAAATATAAATAGCCTACTTTGTGATATTGTTATTTTCAACGTACTTTTTATTTGCTTGTTAGGTGCAGTTTATTTTTATTTATATGTTCAGTGTGTCGCTAATTATAAGATGAATGTCAGAGGAACAAGTTTCTTTCGTTTGTTTTCAATAGTAAATCACTATAGAGTTGACATATTTATTTTCTTATCAGATATCATCTGACGCAGTTTTCAACACAGTAGAGCAAGCAATTTGTCAGTTGCGTAAAGAGGTAATAAATAAACACTGATCCTTGTGCAATCTGTGCAAAATGATTGCAAATATGACGGTGGCAGCGGAATATCGGGACAGGTTTATTGTCCTTAGTTCTTCATTTTTTGCTCTAATTGACATCCATGTTTCTTTTTTGAGCTCTTACTCACAAAATCCTTACAATACTGAAATTTTAAGAATGGAGCAACATGAGCAACAAAAGAAGAAAGAATCTGGTAAGGAAGGAAGAAATAGTAGGAAAAGAGAACACGAAGATTTGCAGAAATTCAGCCAAGTTATGAAGAAGTTTCTAAAAATGCCAAATCCAGATGGAGATGGTGACAACCACGTTGTTTCCCCGCGTGTTCTTGCCACTGGCTCTGACTACAAAGACATAGTATCAGAGTCAGTGGAGCAATCGTTAATTTCACCAGAACTGCCTTTTCAAAGTTACAAAAGATCGGTAAGTTATTGAGAGCCGACGTGTCGAAGAAGCGATGAGAATTGAATCGAGCACAAAATATGTGGGTGTTAAGCACACCTTCAAGAATTACTGGTTTCAAAGAAAAGCACAGGATGGGACTACTGTTACGCGTAATTGGTTTACTCTATTAATAATAATGCAGTGTATTGTTTTCAGCAGCTCCTGTCAACCAAAGCACGGTATTCGAAAACTCTTGTGGATTTAGAAAATGGAAAAAAATGCAAGGAAAGAATGCCAGAACATGAACGGGGTACTGATCATCGTGCATCATTTCTTGCATGGAAAGACCTTGAGAGAGAGACACACACATCGATTGACACTGAAGCATATGGAAGAACAGAATTGTGGAAGGATCTGCTCATGCGTTTTGTGGATTGTATCAAGTTTTGGTGATTCAACATCTGGCATTTTGTGGACACCGAGAAGTCATTGCATCAAGTAATAATCCTGGTAATTTTCTTGTACGAGTTAAGCTACTTAGTATTTTCGACTTTTTATTGTAGAGTCACTTTGATTATATCTGGCAAGATATAGTTCATTGAGCTACTGGGCAACAAAGTACGTCAGTCTATCCTACAGAGAGTTAAAAGAAACAGATACTATTGACGTTTCTCACAATGAACAAATGTCTGAAATTCTCAGGTTTGTTGATGTTGACAACGAAACTAAAACTGCTGTAGTCAAGAAAGTGTTTATCGATTTTATTAAATTTCATGAAAAAGAGACCGAGAGTGTTACAAAAGAAATTACCTCAAAATTGGAACGAGATAGTCTTGATTTGAACGACTCTCGTGGACAGACGTATAACAACCCTGCAACAATGGCTGGGAAGATATCCGGTGTCTAGAAACGCTTATCACAGAGAAACCCAAAAGCAATCTTTGTGAATTGTGACAACTATTTTTCGAACCTCGTAGTGGTACATGCAGCATCAGAACACATGTTTGCAATATCATTTTTTTGAGTTCTTCATTCATTGTACAATTTTTTATCCAGCTCAACAATGCGGTGAGAGAAATTGAAGGATACAGTAAAGATGGAAAGCTTGGATGACATAGCTAAATTGTTGGAGGATATGGCAAATGATACTTCAATATCAGTCGACACAAGAGGCAAAGTCAGCTGTTTGCTGCACAACATGCAAACTTTCAGTTTTCTAACTATGTTGCCATCCTGAGGCGACAAAAGAGTTCAGTGCCCCTATAATGAACGTCACTGACATTCAAAGTCCACAACAATCTGTTATGAGTAAACTGGATTCTCTCTGTAAAATTTGGATTCTTCGTGGATATTGAAAGCTTCACTGACTCCCAGTCGAACGATTCAAACGAAGATACAGTAGAAAAATGTAAAGTAGCTGCTGCAGCATAGAGGAGTGATTTTGATGAAATAGAACCAAAAAACCCAATCAAGCTTTTCAACTTTTTTTTCACAATACCTTACGGCGATGATGCTTTCCCCAATTTACAAATATCATTACGCATACTATTGGCTGTTGTCTCTGTGACGTCCTATGAGCACTCTTTCATCTAAAACTAAAATTA